CCACAGGATCCCCCGCTTCCCGCCCAGGACGTGGTGATGGGTCACTGAAGTGACTCGTGAAGGTCGAAAGCTGCAAAGCCAAATTTCAACTTTGCGGGTTGAAAACCAACTGGAAATTGTCTTTTTTTAAACATTTTTTCCCCGAGTTGCTCCCACACATAAAACCTCTGCATGGATTTAAGCATTCCCAGCCTGGCTAATGCAGGAGCACCAGGCAGTGAAGTCAGACTGTGGAGCTGAAGATGGCAAAGCAGATTTGAATCAGATTAGGATTTGTTAAGCCAAAGTGTTAAAACTGAAAACAGAGCACAGGACAGCTTCTCAAACCTCTTGGGTTATTTCCTCTGCTCTTCTGCCATGATTTAAAAAAATTAATCTTTTCACTATTCCTCCCAATGCCATTTCTGTGAGTCCATAAAACCATTTTCTCCTTGTCAGAGAATTCCGACGGCGGTGATTTATAGGCTTTGCTTGGAACGCAGCACGCAAGTACTTCACTTTTTCATCCACCCTTTCTAAACGTTTTTAACGATCTGCTTCCTCAGATCTGTTTACATTTGGGACATTAAAAGCTAAGCAACAACTCCATTATGAGAAAGAACACCATAAAAATTCCACCATTGCCAGGAAACATCTCAATACAGTGACAAACGTAGCCACGCTCTCGTCCTGCTGCTCATCTGTGGGAGGACTGGTTTATAAATTATTCATGAGCGCCTTAAAATTTCCAGGCTAATCTCAACTAAAAAGTGGGGGTTTTTACACCATTGTTTTGCTCCAAAGTTCTCCAACTGGAATTTTGATTTGCATAGAGAAATCTTCAAAATTTGCTTGCACTGAATTTCTCTTTCCTTCAAGTTGTGATTTCAGTTCTCACACTGGAAACATAGTGGAGAGTCTTTACGTGACAACTTATTTGGAAGCCTGGAAATCAATGATAATTCCCATGAATTTCCTGAGAAATTTAGGTTGTCCTAGAGGCGATTTTTGAGCAGATTTGGATTTATAAGGATTTTGGCACCTTTCAGCAGGCAATCCCATCACCCCGTGGCATTTTTAGTAATGATGAACCATATGGGGAACTATCAAGCCATTCTCTTCCCAGTCTGTTTCACAGGAAGGACAGGCAAGACTGAAGATTAAATCATGGCAAAATCTAACCGAGAAAATGACTTTGTGGTCTTCTGGAGGCTGCTAACAGACCAGCTCACTCACCTGTGCTCATGGATTTTACAGCTGTCAGTCTGTTCTGGGATTTAATCCGCACGGTGGCATTGGAGTATCTTCCACGTAAAATCATCAATTATAAATAAATCCCGCTGGGTTTTTATGCAGTAATGTTATAGAAGAACAGAGAGTCATGATAGCTGAAGCAATGAAATTAAAAGAGTTGCCTTACATTCCTCTGGACGTTCACGCTCTGCCACGCGTTGCTTGGAGAACTGTTGTCACAGCTGGCTCCTCTTTGATGGCCCTTCCCAGCCACTTCATCCCAGGCTGTGCTGCTCCAAATGAGGGTCAGTGTCTGCCTTTCCAGGCAGGAATCCAGCCAGAGTTATGCAGGGCTTGACACACTGATTGCTTTGGGGAAGTAGAGACCAAAAAATCTTTCCTCTGCAGCAGTATGTGAATAATTCTTCCCTGTGAGGGAGGTGAGGCCCTGGCACAGGGGGCCCAGAGAAGCTGTGGCTGCCCCTGGATCCCTGGAAGTGTCCAATCCAGGTTGGATGGGGCTTGGAGGACTCTGGGATAGTGGAAGGTGTTTTGGCCTATGGCAGGGGGATGGAACTGAATGGGCTTTAAGGTCCCTTCCAACCCAAACCAGTCTTTACCAAAATACTGAACTCAAATCTTTGTGATCCCAAGGCTCACCTTTCCTTTTTTTTTTTTTTTTTGACAAAGGGGCTTTAAAAAACTTCTTTGACACGGAGAAAATTGTTTTCTTGACTTGCCCTCTGGACAACTCATCTGCTTCCACGGCAGGTTCTCTGGAGAAGAATCTTCTAGGGGAGGCAGACATGATGCTGAGAAGGCAGCACAGACAGAAACTGCACATAAAGGGACTTAAAATACTCAGCAATCCAGGCAGCAGAGCAGGCAGCCACACATCTCTCCATGGACTGTCCTTGGAAAGTTGCTGGAAATCCAGTAGAGCAAGAATGACATCAGGAAAAACATTTTTTGCCTCCTATTTCAAGGAGCTGAGTGGGAATATATTCTGACCATACACTGTCTGTAACCACTACACTGAGCAGTACCCACTGAACATCCACTTGCTCAACAGCAGAGGTGGGAGCACACAGCTAGTCCAGCTTTTTTGCTTGAAGCTCCAAAGTCCTGAATGTTTCCAGAGGAGATGTACCTGCAGCACCTGGAGAAGAGAACCCAGCAGTTTGATGCAGCATTTTCAGAAACCAGGACAGCAGAGCTGCCTTAGTGATACCTGAAAAGTGACAACCTCTCGTTGCAGGCAGATTAACCCAGGTTGCTTCACTGGAGTTTGCTTCACTGCCCTCGCTGGGATCTGATTCACCAGATAGTTAGAAATTCTAACACTATTTTCATTAGGATTACCCAAACAAGGAAGAATTTGCTCTGCTGGCACCTTTGCACTGCTGTGAGCTCTGCCAACACAAGTCTCTGCCGTTTCATACTTAGCAAAGGTCCCAGCAGGACTCAACCAGCCCACAGTAAAAGCTACAATACCCGAATTCATCCTCCTCGTAACTCTGCTGCCACTGGAAATGTGTGCTAAGGACACAGCAGATCCCCCACAATTTTTGGTTAAGAAGTCCCAAATATTTTTGGTTAAGTCTCAAACTGGCTTGAAGGAATCAGGCAACAACTTGTAGCACATCATAATTATATTTCGTTTACTGTTCCACTCTTTAATAAGCACCTTATGCCTGCATGTTTCATCAATTAATGTTGACTATTTTATCAATTATAAGGAAAATTATAGTTTTGACCCTCAATTTATTTGCTGTGATAACAAAGTGATTTTCCACTATCACCCCAAGCCCCTACTCAACATGATCAGGTTATTTTTCCCCCAGATTCCCAATATACAGTGGATTTCACAGAACATCCTTATGTAGAAGCTTGACATTTTGAGACTGTGATGCAAGATCACAAAAATTTCAGACAAATTAATTGCAACAATTGAAATTTTGGCTTGATGTAGTAGAATGAAGTGGTTTCAGGGCTCGTTAATAAAAACTGTGTACACTGTCAGACATTTCTAAAATATTTCTGTATTAAAAATTTCCCAACAGACATCATCTTTCTCTCCCTCTCATCCTACCATCCAGTATATTTTATATTAATCCAGAAGGGAGAGGGTTTTTTGGGAGAAGCAGTTGACTTCCAGCGCTGCTTTTGGCTTAGTCCAAGTGTTGATTTCATTTCAACATCATTCCAGAACACTGGCAACAGCACAAACTTTTCTGACCAAAGAAACAATCCTCCTGCACGTTGCATTTTGTGACTGCTGCAGGGTCTGTCAACGGGAGGATGGAGCAGATTTCCAAACAAATAGTTTACGTTACCCATTGTGGTACCTGACTGGAGTTTTGAGACTAATTCAGGTTTTGTAGGCACCATTTTGCACCCAAATCTGTGTGATAGGGAAGACTTGTCTTCCAGTAGCTTCACTTGTTGAAAAGGCCAGGAGCTGAGAGCAAATAGGATAAATTAAAAAAAAAAAAACCAAACAACCAAAACAAACAAACAAACAAAAAAAGCTTGTTACCTATGCTTCCCTCTTCCTCAGATATATTTTATGCTGAAAACAGAAATGCTTCTGTTTTCATCAAGCATTTTTCTTCCTTTTTACATCCTTTCTTTCCCACGAGAGAAGATCCACCATGAGCAGGACACAATCCTGTGTGTGAGCACACAGGCACACCTCCAGCAGTGCTCATGACTGAAAATACTTTCACAAGAGCCAAGCACTTGGCAGACACATTTTTCTGACTGTAGGTTCAAAGAACCTCTCGCCTTTCAACAGAAAGAATTAAAATGTTATTAACCTTCTTCACCTGTTTCTGCACCACTTTGTAGCTGGTTTGGACCTTAAGATTATTTTTTGTATTAACAAGTTTCCTTGAAGTCCAGAAGTTTCGATCCTACTTGCACAGCACAAGCAGCAAATGTCCAAACAGTTCCATCTGCTCCTTCAAGGACTTCCCACAAGAAATCATTTAAGCAACTGTCTGCATGGCAGCTACTCAGGCAGTGGATGTACTTAAAACACGGTGATTATTTTCTAGTCACGCTTCCAACACCACTTAATTCTGCACAGCTTTTAACCTCCACAAGAACATCTGTCAAAGCCCCTAAAACATGCAGAGCTCTGCATCGTACTGCAACCCCCCCATGCTGCTAGCCAGTCTGTATTTTCCATATTTCAATAATTTGTTCCATTAATTTAAGGGCCTAACCTACAGTCTTTGGTACTAACACAGGCATTTGCCACTTCTCAAAGCTCTATCTGAAAAGAGAGTATGAGGGTGGATTTTGTGAATGGATGGAAGGAAGAGTCTTGAGAGAGGTCAAAAAGTCCCTTTTGGTTTGTGATTATCTTAATTAAAAATAAAGGTCATCTCATTCCACCCCCTGCTATGGGCAGGGAAACCGTCCACTATCCCAGGTTGTTCCAAGCCCCATCCAACCTGGTCTTGGACACTTCCAGGGATCCAGCAGCAGCCACAGCTTCTCTGGGCACACTGTGCCAGGGCTCACCAACCTCACAGGGAAAAATTTCCTCCTAATACCTAATCTAACCCTGCTTTGTGTTTGAAGCCATTCCCCCTTGTCCTGTCACTCAACCTCCTTGGCAAAATTCCTTCTCCAGCCTTCAATATGTTTTCATATACATAAAAAAATTTGGAGGAGATAAAAGGAAGGTGGATTTGGTTCCAACAACCAGCCACAACCTTAGAAATTCCTCTGAATATTCAAAAGTTGCTCCACTTGTTTACAAAATAATCTTTTTTTTAGTTACTCCATATGGAATAGCGGAAAAAGCTGAACTCACCAGGACGTCCAGGGAAACATCCCCTGCTACAGGGATGCCTTGCTGCAGGTTGGTGTGTGATGTGCTGCTGTAGGTTGGTTGGTGTTATTAACTCCCAAAAAGCTGGATGTAGAATGACCAGCTGATTGAAGGATGATTTTTCAGAGATTATCTTCATGGGTAATGAGGTCCTGCTGGAACTGGGGACAGGACCCACCTTCGACTCGGCTTCCAGCCAGCTGTGTCTCTGAACAACTGAAATTTCAGAGGAATTAATATATATTAAACACCCTTGGAGAGGTGACTCAGGTTCTTTATGACTTACTCTGTAAGGGGTGTATGAGAGGAGAATGGAAGAAGCTCTCAGGCTGGCAGGGAAAACCTCCATGAGATCTTGCTTTCAGCACATCCAGAGTATGGGAGCTGCAGATTGGAAGGTTTTCTGCTGCTCCTTTTATTTCCTCATACCTCACACACAGATCATTAAGACAACAGGGTGGGGTTCTTCTTCTTCCAGCCAAAGTCCACACTGATTATTCTCATTTGGAAAACCATCTCCCTTGATCTTCCCTCTCAGCACTGTAAGGTTTTCCAAAACATTCCAAGGATCATCTTCACACAGAGGACCTAAACCAAGATCTTGGGTTATACGTTTTTACAATTCTCCACCTCCCAGAGATTAAACTTGCAGCATTTCTGCAACTCCATTCACTAAAATAACACACTTCCCTGTTTTCGTATCAATAAAGCTTCTCTCCGGAGCCTCTTCTGTAAAAATTCACAAGGTGCAATTCCCCAATCACTATAACCGATTTCAAATGGTGCTAGAAATTATTATTGACTCTGAACACCAAAAGAAATCAGTCATCCTCTAAAGGGGTTACGGAGATCTGCAAGGATGAAGAGTTATGTGGTCGACAGCATTTCACATTGGAGAATCCCCAAATACTTGATATAATTCTTATTAAAGCACTGGTGAAAAAACAGAGGTTTAGACAGTGAAAATTTTCAAATTAGGTACACACATTTTTTTAATACAGTAAAACACTTCAAAAAATACAATCTTGAAAGACTTCTCCAGATTTCAGTAGACTTGGAGAGTATGTCCAACCACCTGTGGTCTAACTCTCAGTTGTTGGCCATTTCCATGAGCCCATCCAACCACCAACCTGCACGCTGGCAAGTCTTGTCACACAAAATAAGCAGCACATTCTAATCTGCCAAACATGCCACAACAAAAAGCCAAACACTCAGGAGGGATGCAAACAGCATCCAGAATTCCCAGTGCTTCCATGCAGAATTACCTGTTTCAAATTTGATTGTCTTGTATGACAAAGTATTTACAAGTGTGATGAAGTGGTAAGAAAAATAGATCTAGGTAAGGCTGAAAATAGGTTTTGAGTTAAGAATTTAGAGCAAATGTAGTTCCCTGCTTATTCCTCACCATGTTGTATGAACTAGCTGTAGTAGTTTTTACTAGTTGGGGCATTAAAATCAACACCTTCAATCCTGTGTTACAATTCTGTATGTTACTTTTTTTGCCTTGTTTCTGTCTCAAAATCTTCCTGAGTTCTGAAGTTGTTGCTCAGTACTCACAAATATTATAAACATGATGACAGCAGAATTTCTGCCTTTGAAATCACTCTTTACATTGCTCTGGGTCACAGACCCCTGGAGTCCCACTGAGGGACTTGGTTTGGTGGTGGAGGTTAATCGGAATGGCAGAGCCACACAAGGAAGATCTTGACTTTCTCTTCTTTTCCTCTGAGGCTCCCGAGGGTCCATTTCCCTGATGAAGGCAGGCATTCTTCCTCCAAGAACACTGATTTCAAATGGTGCTAGACAATGAATAGTTAAATCTAAACCACCATATGAAACCAGCTTCCTGAGGGAGCTTGAGTCTAGCTGGGAGGATATTCCTGTAACAATAAATTGGAAATGCCACAGAAGAATACCTAGCCACGTTGGGTTTTTATTTTTCCTGTTAAAACAGTTGATGCTTTTTTCTTATTCTTACCCTTGATTTTGGTTTTTGAGTCACTCAAATGCTCACTTCTGTTTTCTATTACAGTGCTACCAACAGCAAGAGAATTGCTTGCAGCAGTGTCACTCAGAGGAATTTTGTTAGTCAGGCTTGAACAACATGTACAAGGCTTTAACAAGGAATGAAAGACATTCATCCTGCTTGTGCTGCTGTCTTCTATTAACACATTCTGTCTGCTGAGCTCTGCCCACAGCCAGACTGCATCCAAACACACCAGCAAGGGCAGCACTGCTACAAAACTCCCTCTTGTGACAGCGAAACACGTAAGATGTTACCAAATCTTCACTTCAACAGCAGCAGCACACCAAGACTAACGTGTGACAGAAGCTGCATGTCAGTGCCTAAAGGTTCAATAGTCATCCCAAAGGTTATGCAGAGAGCTTGGAAACCTGCCCACCTGTCAGCTAGCTCTGGCTGAGGTGGGATTTGCAAATTAGGGGAAAAGCGCGTCACCAAACCTGACGTTAAGGACTGAGTTGATGATGGGCTATTCAGACTTGGCACTTAGCACTGGGAGCCACAACAGCTTCTAAGAAATCTGACAGAGGGTTGTTTCCTGGAAATCTGCTAGTGAAGTGTGTCCTAGACAATTTATTCCCTTCCAAACAGGTATTTTTTTCTTTTTTCATCATCTTTCTGCAGCCCCTCATGTCAGCTGGCAGAACAGACCCGGAGTACATCTGCAGAGCGATGCTGAACAAGTCTTGAGTGTTTGCACAGCCCTGCTCTCAGTGACATGTTCTGGGAAGCACTCAGGTCCATCACAGCCTCTAGAAAGGAACAAATCACCCTGGGCAGTGGCACAGAAGGCACCACAAAGTGTCTGCATGGCAGAGGGAGGCACAAAGACACCGTGTGCCTCATCTGGTGCAGAACAACAGCTTTAAGGAAAACACTCCATCGGAGCAGGCCAGGCCTCTATAAGCAGGCAGTTCCTGCAGTTACTGGAAGAGCTGTCACCACGCCAGGCCACATCAGCACTGGATTTATTGTGCAGCTTTTCTGTCCAGAAAGTGCCTGTGTGGAGCAGAGCAGGCAGGAAGCATCAGGACGGAGCTGTGCCCGTGTCCCCGGGCCCTGCCCTGAGCGTGCAGCTGCCTGGGAATCTTCCACACAGCCTCACAAAACACTAATGGGTAAAATAAAGCTGCTTTAAAGTCCAGGCAGGACCAAACTCTTTTTCCTTCAGCCGTGCAGAAGTCCAAAATTTTGCCTCGCTGCAGTGTTTTCAAGAAGAGTGAAGCATCTTTTCCCCTCCCTGTAGTTTATTACACCTGGGTGTGCTCCATACCTGCCTCTGGAAGCCCTGTGAAAGCTGATTTTAATTGACTAGAACCACAGAATCACTGAGGTTGGAGAATACCTCCAAGATTATTGAGCCCAACCTTTGATTTAATACCACCATGCTCACTAAACTGTATCATGAAGTGCCAGGTCCACTTGTTTTTTGAACACTTCCAGGGATGGTGACTCCACCTCTGCCCTCAGCCTGTTTCAATGCTTAACCACTCTTTCAGTGAAGAAATTTTTCCTAGTGTCCAGCCTGAACCTCTGCTGGAGAAACTTGAGGCTGTTTGCCATTTCCTGTCACTTGTTACCTGGGAGAAGAGGCTGACTCCCACCTCACCACCACCTCCTTTCAGGTAAATATTGGTCTTCAGGCAAATAAGGACTTCCCCGAGTCTCCTTTTCAATCCTCAGCCAGTCCTTGTAGAACTGGCATTCCAGACCCTAAACCACCATGCAAGATGAACCCATCAGTTGAGTCCTGAGGATGGGCAAATATTCTCAATCTCCTCTTCAGGGGGCAGAAAACTATGTTAAAAAAAAGGAATTACACCTGTTCCTTGAGTTTCATCACTCTGTGTTCATTTACTCCAAGGACAACAAACTCAGCCAGCTCAGACCAGGAATCCAGCTCCTGAAGAGGGAAATCAAGCCACTGTGGACAGTTCTCATGAGGGTATCTGTCAGCAGCACAGCTAACACACTCCTCTCCAAGAAAATCTTCACAAGAAAAGGCCAAGAAACCTGAGATCCATCTGTTAAACGAGGAAAGCACAGACAATTCACATCTGTCTCCCCTGGACAAGAAGACTTCCTGCTGCAGCATCTTTTCCATGCAGTTGCATCCATGACATCCACGGATTTGAAGCTGAGGTCCAGCTGCCTGGCTCTGCCTTTACCACTGGCCTTAGGATGGCTGCAGGCCACAGCTTCTCCATGTGGCTATCCAGAGAGCAAATTGTGCCATTTAATATCATTTGCACTTTTGAAGAAAGCATCTTTCAAAACTTGCAGTAACTCTGCGTGCTCCTAGAACAGGCTAATGAGAAACACGCTCACACCAGGGCTGTAAACTGTCATTTCTCAATTGGAAAACCAAATGAACTGCAGAGAGAGAGCTATTGTGCTGCTGCAAGATGCCTCCTTCTAATTAGGTGCTGGAAGTTTTAAAACATTTTCAAATCTTGGACTGCTCCATCCTTCCCAGATTTAATGATCAAAGAGCTGAGGGCAACTTCCTCGTTGAACAGGGAAGAAGAAGAAAGGCAGTTAATGTCTTCACATTTACAAGTAAGAACTTGGGAAACAGGAAAGAACAAATCCAGAATTCAATGACTTAGATAAAAACTGTAGATGGAAGAGCGTCTGATTACACTTAGGTTTCTGCAGTTACAAATTAAGTGTTCTGTAATTCTCCAGAGAAAATTATGGGAATGACATGTCAGTGACTTCAAGCTCTAATCTTACAAGCTTCATAATTCATGTTTTTATTTGACATTGATGGGATCACTTGAATGGGTAAAGTTTTGTCTGCAATTAGAGCACTGCAAGAATGAAGTTTACAAAGGCTTTGTTTTGCTGTTGAATAATTCTAGTGATTTACAGGTGGTTTAGCTGCATTTAAACACTTACTAGGGAACCCTCTCTCTTCTAATGATGAAGTGCAGAATTCCTGTACTTGGAATGACATGAGAACTGTCTGTGACTCCAAGTGTCTGCGGTGGGCTTTTTATCCCATTCATCAGGGATAATCAGACAGAGCTGCACTGGGTGTGACTTGGAAAGACTTCCATGGTGGACTAATGATTCTGTACAGGAAATTCATTAAAAAATAAATCCTACAGCTTCCTTTCCATGCCCTGCCATAACAGGAGCCGTGTAAATGGATTTTGTTAGAGCTGCACTCACGACAGCTTTACGATCCATCTGAAAGGCAGAGGCAGCCTGGAATCTGCAGACAATGGCCTGTGAGAACATCACATCTGACAAACTGCTTAACTTACTGTAACTTTTTAAATACTTTTTTTTTAAAATAATAATAAAATGTGGAGCTGAGGGAAGATGACAGAGTGACTAGTCTGCAGAAAGGCTCTGTCTGTACCATGGGAAGGGTCTGTGTGAACTTCTCACTTAATGTCTGGCCATGGATCTCATTTATGAGCTGCTGCAGACACCCCATGGCATAATGGAGATGCAGGAGCCACTGAGAAATTATCTGTCAACTGAAAAACCAATTAATACTAACTACAGTGAGAAAGAACTGTCTATCCAGACAGAAACTGGGATTGTGAAAGTCAGTTACAGATGTCTTTAAGGGATTTTTTTTTTTTTGTCATTTTCAACTTGAACTTGAGCCACAGCTATTGGGGAAAAGCTGCCTCATCTTTTCTTTTTCTGCACCATCAATCCCCCAGTGTTTTCACCACCAGCTTAATGAATTCCAACTATCAAGAGAGCTCATCCGCTCTGTAATTTGTCTTTTTTTGTTCCCTTCACTAAACAAGCAGGAAAAATGTTTTTAATTTGCAATGCTGAATAAATACCTACTGTGTTTGCCAAGACTTTATTGACATTCATGGCTGTCCACAAAGCTGACTGACTTCTCACAGAGATGGTTTATCTCCTCAAGTAAAAAAAAATAAACCTGCCCTAACAAGAAGATGGTAATCTTCCTTAATAAAATAAATGAAAAGCAGCAGTTCAATAAATAATCCCGTGGTTAGTGAAAGCCCTTCATTCAGGATATTGTCCCAGAGCAGATTTTTGTTGACAGCAAGATCACACAGGACTGGGACACCCTACAGTGCTCACTGCTGCCTCTGATGCTGCATTTCCTGTCACCTTCAGCAGCACCAATACATCTGCCTGTGGGCCACGAAATTCATTCAAATGATTTTAATACAAAGGAAAAAAAATGAAGAGTTTCTATTCTTGACTGAGTTATTTTCAGTCATCTGGTTTTCCACACGGTCAGGGAAGAGGTGGCACTGCATTGCTGCTGAGCTGGAAATGAATGGCTGAGAGTGGGCAGAAGCTGATTAAGCTGGAACTAGCAGAAGACATGAACTGTGGAATTACACTTTGGATAGCATCAAATCCCATCTCTCTCGCTCAGCTGGTCATGAGGAGCTGAGATGAGTTTCAGCCTGCAAGGAAACACAGTTCTTGAACTTTCACAAGAAAATCAATACATTGAACTCTGAGGTTCTTACTCAATTTTTACTGGATTTTTACACACAGCTCAACCTTCCCCACAGGACTGTTTGCCTGAATTTTTCCATTTGAATTTCTCTCACTGAACAATTCTGTCATCTTAAAATGAGCAACGTGCAAGAAACAATCAAAGCCTCCACAGCTGGAATTTAGTGTTATCACAAGGTCTGTGGTGTCTTGATATAAACAGTAAGGGAAAGAAAAAAAAAAGCATTTGGATCATTTGGGAGAAAAATAATGACAAACCATTGCTGAAAAGATTTCTACACTGATGACAGTACTTCACATTCCTTCCTGTGCTTTGTTTAGCTGCACTTAGAAGTGCTACGAAGTGAAGAGATCTGGGGAACATTACTCTGGAACAGGCAAAGAGCCCTCAAATGAAAGCAATTATTTCCCACTAGTGAAACATCCGATTTTCCCATTGTGCAGGCACACCATGCATTTATCTCTGTACTTTCAAAGCTCCTCAAAGCTTTGAGCAGGAAAGGCCTGATGGTATTTGCAACAACAGGTACCAAGGAGGGACAGGGATGTGTTGTACCTGAGGAAAAACAGCCTCTACCATGCAGAGCTTTCTTTGTGTACTTCTGGAACAATTCATTACTGACAGGCTTGTCCTCAGAATCTGGAAGAGGAAAACACCAGAAGTTGTTTGAATTGTGTTGTTCTGCAAAGAGATGAATCAAAACACAACTTGAGAATCATTTTTTTCTTTTCCTCCAGGTTTTTACACAGACTTTTTAACCACGTTATGACACCTCACAATCTGTACTTGTGTGAGTGCACTCACAGTCAGAACAGGCAATCGAGGTGTGCCACTAACCCATCACTAAATACAGGCATCATGCTCCCTATGGAAAGAGTAATTTTGGATCAGAGCTCACAAAAAAATCACAAAAAAAAAAGAAAAAAAGAATTGCTGTCTTTGTTTCATAACAAAATATGTGTGCGGGAATTTCTTGTGAGATGTATCCAAAATAGATCCAAACCTCCTGGTAGAATCCCTCGAGCTGCAGTGCACTTGTGCACTGACTGTGGCAGTGGTGCCACAGGGAAGTAATTCTTTGTGGAGGCAAAATCCATAAATAGCAGGTGCCAGAGAATTACCTGCTGCACAGAGCAACATCCTTGACGTAAAGGTTGTCTCAGATTTACTCTGAACTCTGTTTTGAAACCTCATCAGGCTGATTTTGGGGATTAGCAGGGAAGGAAATCCTAAAAATACAAAAGCAGGCTTACGGAGCTGGGGGAAAGGCAGTAAGATTTTTTTGTGACAAAGGCTTCAGGATATGAATTATGCATTACCAAAAACTGACTTCAGTCTGGATGGGAGGAGGGAGATTTCTGTGCATCCACATCCCAGCACAACGGGCACAAGCTGCTCTGCAGGGAATTACATACATCCTGTACAAACATTATCCATCTGAGAATCTCACTCTTTTTTTTCTGAGTATTATTTTGTGCTAATTGTGAGAATCTGAGGCAGAAAACCACAAATAACCTGCGAAATCCTTGGAATCAGTCCCCATCCACTTCAGAGAGGGCTACTGAAACCATAAGGAAGCAGGAACAGTCTGGCTTCAGCCTCCCTCTATTTCTGTCCACATTCCCACCCTGTGCCCATCACCATAGCAGCTGACTGCTCCTTCTGCAAAACACCAACCTTTGGGGCAGCACAGGCAGGAAAATACTGAGGTTGTTTTTTTTCCCAAATGGATCACCATTTGCTGGATAAAAGCAGCTGATGTTGTATTTTAGAAACTGGACAGGACAGCCATAATAAAAAAAGTAATTCCTGTTGATTGCTTAGGTATGATAATGAGGGTATGATAATGAAGCAGCCACCCAAAACAAAACTCATTGTTGATTGTCCAAGTCTTACATTATAAAAACACATACTTTCATTGCCAGCGCTGCCTGACACATTTAAAATCATCTCAGTGGGGTCTGAGAGAAAAACAATGGCCATTAAGAATTAAAAAAAAAACCCAAAATATTTCTTCAGCTTAGAATAGTTCTTCTGACTTACAGCTTTGGGGATGTAAGAGCGATGAGCATCATTTTTAGCAACCACCCTGGCACGGTGGCTGTTATATAAATTTCAATAGAAGCTGTAATCCCACCCCTGAGCAGAAATGCCCCTGTCATGAAGCACTCCAAAGCTACACCTGCTGTTTGTATCCTCGTGCCATGAGCTGGATCACAGCCACTTCTGTCCCTACAAAGTGAGCTCTCAAAGCTGCCCCTCTGCTTATCTCCAGCACTGGATTAATTTGTGCTGCTCCACACATCATCGTGGCACTTTGTCTGTCAAAGCATGGGAAGTGACCTGGAAGGAACTGCTCTTCTGTATCTTTAAAAAATAACAGTAAACAGCACAAAAACTTTTATTAGTCTGTAGTTTTTTTTTTTTTTTGTCTGATATAACACAAACTCAGACTACTCCACGATTACCCAAGAGGAAGTGAAATTAAAATTATCACACAGAAAGAAGATAACAATTAAGAAAGATAGGAAGTTCAATCAGACCACTTCAAGTTTTAACCTCAGCTTAATTCCCACGCCTCAGGAACACACTGCAGAGGACCTTGCAGCGCAAGACAAACATTCTGTACTCCTCCCACCACATATGACACTGCAAAAAAAACCTGAAACACAAGCCAGGAATATTTTCAGAGTGAAACAAAGCACTTTAGAACCCTTTCTTGTGATGCTGAAGAAGCCAGATGAGGCAATGAGCAGCCTGGGAGAGTGGAAAGTGTTCCTTCCTATGGCAGAGGGTTGGAACTAGATGGTCCTGAAGGTCCCTTCCAACCCAAACCTTTCTGTGATTCTGTGAAGCAGATATCAGTATTTTTTAAAGATATTCACTTGCTACATTCTGCTGCTGCACAGTGACAAATACATATGCCAGATACATTTATATACTACATACTTCACAGCAGGAAAAATAACCAGTGCAGAGATCTTACTCCATCAGTGTACTGGAAACAGAAATTATTTACCTTTCCATTTGCACAGATTTATAGGCAGGTTTTCCCTCAAACAACATGTTCTTCCTCTGGCATATGCAAGATGCCCTCTTGAGATCAGCATCTGGAATTTATAAAATGGTTTATTTAAATGTGTGTTTGCATTTCCACTTCAGCTTTCCCTCATGAAATGCAGAGAAGTCACCCAGTTCTGGTACAAATAAAGATTTTAGGGATTGATCAATGCCCTGTTAGCCATGCTAGGGACTGGAAGATCCAGGAGATGAGCGGGATCCTCACTGAATGCTGAGCAAGGATCACCTGGATCACCTGGTGAGCATTTGGCAGTGCTTCAATCAATTACATCTGCACAACCATGCACAGGTTAAAATATTTACTGATCCTTAGTGCTGAACCCTTTTTACTTTTAGTTTGTGCATATGACTTCTGTGACAGGACAGTCACATCATGAGGATAAAAGCAGACACTGTGCTTCAATAATAAACACTGATGCTGGCACACGCCATGGAAATTACAGAGCTAATTAGAGGACAACATAATGCTCCATGTATTGACACAGCCAGGCAAGGGATGGGAAAAGGGGCTGCTGGATTCTGGAAATAAATTTGGTTTTGCTTTGATCTGCAACATCTATTAAACAACTTCAGTTGCATTAGAAAAATATGTCCCTGTCCATCAGAAAACGTAACATACATCCAAATTATTCCTAATTTTTTTTGTCTCCTCCCCACAACTGGCTCCACCTTTTGAAGTTGCAAACAAGGTCAGCATCTCATAACTGGAGCATTAAAAGATGGATGAAGTTCTGATTTTCTTTGGGACCTGAGAAACTCAGTTTGTGCAGTAGGTGTTCACCTTCCCAGTGATTTCCAAGGAAGGAAACCACTGCAGCAGGACAGAGATCAAGACACACTGATCTAGAAGCATCACATAAAACAGAATAGAATGAGCTTGGTTTTCTCTTTTACTGCCTGAAGCAAGAAACAGAGACATAAAAAAAAAAAGAAAGTATAATAAGACAATAAAACCTGATATAAAGGCAGATTAACAGCCTTTCTACTGTAGGCATCATAGGAAGATGAAGTTTTAAAATAGAGGCTTAAATACGAAGGTGTTTTTGTGGCATTTACAGAGGGTTGGCATGGGAGAAAGCTCCTTTCTGTTGACACAGAGCTGAGCTGCAGCAGATTGCTATCAATCCACGTGTACAAGCCACACAAACATCCTGGAAGGAAAACAAAATGATGCACACAGGTGCAGGTCTGGAACTTGACTACAGAGAGAGTGAGAGAGAGAGAGAGAATAATCATATCATTGAATAATAATCAAATCCATTACTGCAATGGAAATCTGGGAAGAGAGAAGATGCAGAATGTGCACACAGAGACCATAACATCACTGTGTACATTAAAAATATGATGAAGAAAGACCACAAAACCCCCAAAATCACAGTCATCCAATCAGGATGGAATCTCAAACGGAAACATGATTGATGCTGTCAAAAGCTTGAGGAGGGAGGATGAAGAACTAGTGTTAATATTTGGTTAAGAAAAAGCAACTGGAAACGTCAACGTTTCCAATGAATTCAAGAGGCAGATGTCAGTCTGGAAGTGGTGTAGGATGGAATCACAGAGGTGAACCCTAAATTGCAAATCACTGGTATAACTTCCTAATTCTAAAAATGTGGCCATTACTAAACCAAGGAAAAATAAACCCAACCCCCCCCCCCCCCACCAGTGATTCAGTCAATGACAGATTTCACTGTTTATTCTGCCAACATTCAAGTTCTCCTGTTTGTAGACAGAAGTTAATTCATTAATTACTAAATGAGTTCAGTTAGTTCACAGCATGTAATTAATTTATTCTCCTCTCTTAACAGGCACATCCTAATGTCACTTTGTAATATTTTGCAAATTCAATTACTAGACACAATGAGAAAAAGGGAATTTTGAAGGCAGAAAATAAAACTGCAGGAAAGACAGATGCAAAACCTATGGAGATAATGTACAACACAAATAGCATCTGGCAGCAAGGTCTTTTCCCTGCCTAGCAGGGCTGACTGTTCTGAATTAACTTTTCTGTGGTTGGAACAGGTCTGGGATGTTGGGTGCAGGAATGTGGCAGCTGCCAGCCCATGGTGGTGTCCCCACAGCCACTTCCCTGCAGCTGCACTGACTTCTCATTTCTCTCACCCCTTCCAGTCCTTTGCAAACAGTTCCACCAAGAGATCCCTTTTTTCATGGAACTACTTTGTGGTTTTAACAGTGGCCAAGGAAATTCACTCAAGAGGAAATTCACTCCCCATAATTCCTACTGTAGCCACTGTGAAGGTTAAAAGGATTAAATGGTTGAAGTGATGACTGGGATAATAAAGTATGTGCTGTGTAACGCCAGCTGCACAGGCCTTGACAGAGTAAAGCTTTAGGAAAAAAAAATAGAAGAGGAAAGTCTTTAAATATAAAACCTGACAGTCCCTTGAACATATCTGCACTCCAAAGGCCACGTGTAAAGCAGGAGATGGGAGGAGAGCTCTGGCTGGGTGATGGGATGGGGTCTCAGGCAGCACCTGCAGCAGTGCCAAGGTGGGAGCAGCCCCACTTAGGTCAGATCTGCCTCTGACCCTCACCAACCCACCCAGCACAGAGGGAAAATAGCACCGGATGGGGAATCAGCTGAGCCATGATCACAGTAATGGACTGCAATTACAGCTTCATTAACAGGAAAATTAAGTTAGGTTTCAGTAACAAGCCATACAATTTTTCTTGTGTTAGTGCAAGGCACACGGGCTGGAGCTCTGGGAAGGCCAGTCCTGCTTCAGGGGTGATGCAGCACCAGGCAGGGACACATGGCTGTCCACAGTGTCCCCTGCCACGAGACTGGAAGTCTGCAGGCATCAGCCACGGGGCCTGTCTCAGTTCTGCCTGGATTTTGGCAGGATTTAGGTGCCTAGACTCTGGAGTGATAGAACTTTCTATGCAGTAGCTGCTGGGGCATCAGCATGTGCTGTACCACAGCCAAAGGTGTCCCAGCTGGCATGAGGGAACCTGCTTCTCACCTACATTTTTCTGCAATAAGAAACCAGCCTGAACACCACTAAGTGCTCTGGAAGAGCCTGAAATCCACCCAAATCCATGCCAACACCAGAGCCCTTTCGAGAACAAGGCTGCACAGAGGCCCTGCTGGTCACCACCTTCCACTGGACACTGAAGCAGCACGTGAAAAGCAGGAGAGCCCCTTTCCATGCCTGCTCAGCCTTCAGTTTCACACCACTCCGGAGAACTGGGGCAGCACAGATAAAAAACGTGAGGCTGAACACGTCTCTGCATCGTTTGTGTGGCTCCTGGTACCCAACAGGCTGTTCCACACCAAACCTGAGCTTTGCTGTGCTCCCTACCAGGCACACACAACCTCAGAGCAGCTGATGCCCAAATCCCTGTCTAATGTGTCACAAACAAGGTCCCTCTGGTGTGTCTCTCTCTACAGTGCTTGTTCTGATTCCAAAATTACATGACATCCATACCCCTGCCACCTTCTCAACACCTCAAGGGTCCTCCCAGCCTTTTCAGTCTCATTCTGTCCCATTCTGGTGGAAACAGAGCTCTGGACTTTTATTTTCACATCACATGTAGGAATTATTTCCTAATTCTGGCCCAGGCAGTTGACTTCCACACCCAAGGGCAAAAATCCAGCATGGATACAATAAACTGGGCATCTATGTGCTTTAAAAGCTCAGCACTGGATATTTCTAAAGAGGGTGTATGGTGCATGTACAGCAAGACACAGCTAAGCATCATTTTGATCTGAAGCTTAAAATACACAACCTGTCCTGAACTACTTCTGTATTTGCATGGAAAATTTGGTGATATTCTTGATGAAAAGTGAATAATTAAAAGAATTTTGAAAGTGCTTAAAAGGACAGAACAGAGAAAACAAAACTGATTCAGACTACAGCACTGCAGTGAGACAAGGAATGACAATGATTATCTTTGAGGTGTTGTAATTTAAGACAAACTGTAGCAGAACTGCTACAGCAGCTTGCTAATTCTATTACTAATCCTTACATCACACTTTCCAGACTCCTTATGGATTTCCCTCCTAACAGCCTCTGCTGTATCAGCATTTTTTTGGCAAAATGAATTACAGTAACTTCTGCTACAAGGGAATAATTGTGTCAGGGGATTGGTGAGGAATATTCCCTTGCATTTCTAGATTGGAGCAGCACTCTGCTTACTGTGCTCTCTTCAAAATCTAACTGGAACAATCCTCATCCTGCCCTCAGGGCCATGAAAGTTGTAGCAGGTGTCCAGTTAAGGTGAAGATAATGTGTATCCTGTGTGGCTACGACAAGATAGGCTTAACCAGCTAAAATAACTAAAGTAAAATTGCAAACTGCACTGTACTGCACTGTAAAATACCATACAGATCTATAAAACCATGCAGACTCAAAGCAAGAAGTCAGTAGTCTGACAGACCACACGAATACACATTATGAAACCATGAAAAATCATTTAAAACTGGATAATTAAGCCCACACCACAAATACTTTTCTTCTCCTTAAATACAACAGCCCTCACTTCATGTGTCAATATTATTAATACATTGCTTTGTATCATTGCCCATGGGTACAAAACCTCTTTACAAAACACCTCAGCCCTGGATATTTTCAGATACAAAGGAATGAAGAAGGATTGGCTACAATGCCCCAATCGAACTTGTGGGTTTTTTTCCTGCTCAAATCCACAGTTCTGTATCCTAAAAGCCAGATGCTGAGCATATCTGCTGCATCACTTCCCTGAATCCCTGCCAGCTCTATCTGCTCTCCGAAATCCCTGCGGAGATTTCCAACACACCGTGAGCCCTGCACAGCTCCGCCCCCGACCCTTCCTGTTAGGGACTCCTGAGCAATGGGTTTTTATCTCATTAATTCAGTGTTTTTTAGGAAACTACTTTTCCCTGCCAGTTTTTAACCCCAGAGGAATTTTCTAGATGTGCAGTGACAGCGCATGAGTAATAGCTCCCTCATTAAACGACCAGGGAGTCATAAAACAAAACAAATTGTTCAGCTTCCCAGTGTTTTTCCGATTTGCTTTCCCTTTCCAAGTC